ATTTTACTAAAAAGAAAAATATTGAAGAAGAATTGGATACTGCGAATATAGTGGTGACTTTTCAATGACTTCTGCTGCAGAGGGGAGCAGAGAAATGGGGCAGAAGCTGAAGGGAGAGGTTAGGTCAAGAGGAATTGTTTCTTAGGGGAGAGACATTACAGCATGTATCTGTGCTGATGGAAATGGACTTTTCTGTACTGGCTTTCTTCCCTGTCTTTGCTCATTCTGTTCCTGGCTCCCTCAAATCCTTCAGGGCTCAGCTCAGTGACCCTTCTTCCCTGAAGCCTTGCTAGCTTCTCTGAGCCAGAAGCCAGAAAGGCTCGCTTTTCCCCTCTCCCCTAATTCCCATAGCACCCCTTTAAGAACGTTTACGATTTGTATCTTATGATTATTTGAGTACAAGTTCCCTAAGAACTGCTCCATATCCTGCCCATCTTTGTATCCACAGCCTCCCTACTCCTCATTTTCCATGTAGAAATACACCTAGAACTGTTGGATAAATGTTTGTTGAGCGAACAAGTGAATTCCAGGCAGCCAGATTTGTACAGGTTGGTCCAGGGACCTAGAAACAGCTATTTTATAAGTAGTGTGTCTTAAACTCTTCCCTTGAAATAGCCCTATCAAGGTGAATGTTTACTTAGGGTGGTCTGGGGAAATAGCTTGAATCAACTGGAAATTTCCTTGAAGGCACTAGGATTTTCTCTGAAAATTCCTAAAAATCTTGTAACCTATTCTGATATAACTCTGGGTTTATCTTATTTCCAAATAATACTGTAATTTGTTCTTCAGTTTTCTCCCAAAAGTCTTGAAATAAAACTTATGCTTCAGAAAGGGGCCTACCATCAGTATCTGTGTCTCTCAGTTTGAGGATCTGATATAGGATTTGACATTGAAGCAGTTGCTTCACAAAATAGTAAGGGATTTGTTAGCCTCCAAGATTTAATGACAGTATTCTGCCTCTGGTGGGTGGCATGTTCTAATTATAGGAGAGAATATATGGAACATTTATATCTACTTAATTTACAAGGGGCAATATTTTCTAGTTAGGTAGCATAGTTTGGTGATTAATAACAAAACAAAACAAAACAAAAACGAAAGGTTTTAGAGTCATGCAGACCTGGGTTGGAATCTTGGTTATATTCCTTGTTCATTCTGACTTTATACAAAGTAACCTCTCTAAGTTTTAGTTTCCCCACCTATAACACGAAGGAGGAAAGAATAATATTACCTGCCTCCTTGGGCTGTTGTGGGTATTGAGTGAGCCATAGCCCTTGGTACTGTGACTGTACACAGTAAGTGCTCAATAAATAATAAGTGGGCCGGAGACCCTGGCCAGCAAACAGCTGATCACAGTCCACAGTGAGAAGTGCTGAGGCAGAGGATACCCAGCCCTGTAGGAAACCCTAGAAGGACATCAGGGAAGGCTTGCTGGAGGAATTGACGTCTAAATTGGCCAGTTGAAGGGTGGTGGGGGAGCATTACAGGCAAAGGGAAGAATAGTGAGAGGGCTCAGATCCTGGAGGGGAGGCAGTGGTGAGAGAGAGTTATGGCTGACGATGGCAGGAGCAAAGATCATGTAGAACCAGGTAGCCAGGAAAAGAAGTTTGTCTTTCATGCAGAGCACAATGGGGGCCATTGAAGAGTTCTAAGCAGGGGAGCAACAGATCAGAAATGTAAGACTGGGGACACGGAGACCAGTGAGGAGGTGAGAGTGGTGTGGTCTGGACTGGGATTGGCCTAGAGATGGGGAAGGTGGCCACATTTGTGAGACATTTAGGAGGTAGTGATAAGACATGATAATTGGGTGGAGGTTGGTGGAAGGAGATGGGGAGGATGATCCCCAAGGTGTGCATGGTGGTGCCTTCCACCAAGACAGGGACAGAGAAGGAGCTGGGGCATGGGCAGGGTACAAGATGGTGAGTTCAGTTTTGGACATGTAGAGTTTGAGGTGTCTGTGAGATAGCCACATGAACGCTATCAAGCAGAGAAGGGTCCAGGCTGGAGACAGAGACTTGGAAGATGTGGTGGGTTGAATAATGGCCCTCAAAGATATCTAGGCCCTGATCCCTGGAACCTATAAATGTTATGTTATATGGCAAAAGGAATTTTGCAGATGTGATTAAGTTAAGGATGGGGAGATTATCCTGGATTATCTGGGTGGGCCCCAAATGTAATCACAAATGGTGCTTAAAAGAGGGGCCAAGGGAGATTTGACCACTGAAAAGAAGGCAATATCTCTCTCTCTCACACACACACACACACACACACACACACACACAGAAGCAAGATACCCTTGGAAATGGAGGAAGTTGACCACTGGCCAAAGAATGCAAGGAATTCCAGAACTGTAAAAGAATAAATATGTGTTGTTTTAAAATATCAAATTTGCAGCAATTTGTTACAGCAGCAATAGGAAACTAATACAGAAGACATCAACAGTAATGGTGTAAAGGAAGCTGGTGGGTTGGATGAGGGTGTCCCGGCAGCCTGGGTAGAGTGAGAAGAGCAGATCTAGCAGAGAGCTCCCAATGACTCCAGCATTTAAGATACACGCAGAGGAAGCGCATCTCCAAAAGGGCCCTGAGAAGGAGCAGCCAGAGAGAGAGGAGGACCACCAGGGAAAATCGTGGTCCCAGAATTCAAGGGAAAGAGGGTTTCAGGAAGGAGGGAGTGGTTAACAGTGCCCAATGCTCCTAGAAGTCAAACAAGAAAAGTGCCTGTTGCATTTTAAGAGGAGATCCTAGTTGACCTTGAAATAACTCTTTGGAGAAGTCCTGGATGAAAACAGACTGGAGTGGGTTGAAGCTGACTGAGAGGTGAACCGGAGCTGTATTTCACAGCATATTTGTCCTACCTCCTCCACCAGATTACACATTTTTTCAATTTTTAATTCTATTACACAAGTAGCATATGCTCGTTGCAGAAAAGTTAGTATATACAGATTAGCCAAAAGAAAAAAATTTTACTCATAATGTCCTCAGCTGGTAATATTTTAGGACATATCTTTTCAGGGTTTTTTTTGTTTTGTTTTCTATACAAACTATATAATCCTCCCAATCACCCTATGGGGTAAAATACCATTAGGCCATTTTATAATTTTATTTATTTATTTTTTCCCCCAAAGCCCCAGTAGATAGTTGTACGTCATGGTTGCACATCCTTCTAGTTGCTGTATGTGGGACGCAGCCTCAGCATGGCCGGAGAAGCCGTGCGTCGGTGCGCGCCCAGGATCTGAACCCGGGCCGCCAACAGCGGAGCGCGCGCACCTAACCTCTAAGCCACGGGGCCGGCCCTCATTAGGCCATTTTATAATTTTTATTTATTTATTTTCCCCCAAAGCCCCAGTAGATAATTGTACATCATAGTTTCACATCCATCTAGTTGCTGTATGTGGGACGCGGCATCAGCATGGCCGGAGAAGCGGTGCGTCAGTGAGCGCCCGGGATCCGAACCCGGGCCGCCAGCAGCAGAGCGCGCGCACTTAACCGCTAAGCCACAGGGCCGGCCCACGTTAGGCCATTTTAAAAGGAGGAAATTCAGGCTTGGAGAAGCAAGAAATTTACCCAGCTGCACACAGCTGGTCAACAGCAGCACCAGATTGGAACCTAGGTCTGTCTGACTCCGAAGCCAATGTTCTTCACGGCCGTGCTCCCGTGAATTTTCTACCTGAAGGAATCTTCCAGAGGCTCTCAGCCTCCAGAAGTAAACCTAAGTGGATTTCTATCCTGAATCCCATCCCTCATCCACCCAAGGATATAAATGGTTCCCAAGAGTCAGAGGTTAGTGGGTGGGGAGGAGCGGCAGTCTTTAGCCTGGTGGGGACGGTGAGTGGGGTTGCAAGACACCAGACCGAACCTAGGAAGGATGAAGACACGGGTGAGAGGGCCGCGTAAGGTGGCGCGGGTTACTGAGCGCCTATCAGGTACACGCACGTGTTAGGTTCTTTCCTCGCAACATCACAACCAAGTAGGCATCACACTTCCCCTTCCCATTTTACAGATAAGGAAACTAAGGTTCCAAGAAAGGATGTAATTTTCCCAGAATCACACAGCTACCCAGGAGCGCGGACCCAAACAGTCCTCGGAGACGGGGCACGCGGCTGAGGGCGGGTCCAAGGGGCGGAAGGCGGCCCTGGCCGCGCGCACGGCCGAGGCTGAGAGCTGGGTGTGCGGCCAAGGGAGAGGTGGGGCGATTTGGGGCGGAGCGGGGCACAGAGACTGGCAGGGCTGGCAGTGCTTGGGGCGCAGTGGGAGTAAGTTTGAAGGGGCGAGGTCATGGGGCTGGGAACGAATCGGTAGGAGAGGAGGAGGCAAGGCGCACTGAAGAGGGGCGCGGGGGTGTGGCACCGGGACCGTGGGAGGGATGGGGACTTGGGAGGCGAAGGAGCGGGATGAAAGGGGGCGGGGCCGTGGAGGGCCCGAGAGGAGGGCGGGGTGGAGAAGCGTCAAGCGAGGCCGGGGGCGGAGCTCTCAGGGGCTGGGCGGCCTGGGGGCGGGGCCGAGGAGCCCAGCAAGGGGGCCGGGGCAGTGAGCCAGGGGCGGAGCTCCCAGGGGCTGGGCGGCCCAGGAGCAGGGGACCGAGGAGCCCCGGGAGGGGCCCGGGGCTGGCGCGGGGGGCCAGGGGCGGAGCTCTCAGGGGCTGGGAGCCTGGGGGCGGGGCCGAGGGGCCGGGCGAGGGGCCGGGGGCCGGCTG